CGTTTGGGGACCACCCCATAAGGCCCCCACTGTCCGGGAGGGGTGGTGGGCTCCCAGCGGTGCTGGTTACCAGGCAGGGTGCAACTCCAGCTTGGTGGCAGGGTTTGCCAACCCGCCGGCATCCAGCCGCGCACCAGCCAAAAGCCTGGCTCCTCCGTCCCGCAGCGCATCCCCGCCACCCACCCTGCTCCGAACCCCCCCCAGCACCCACCAGCGGCAAGGCCAGCCAGCCGGGTCCGGTGTGGCACTGGAGCTGCCCAGCAAGGTGGGGGACATCGTTTATTTGAACCAAAACCACTTGTTCTCAAGGGTAAAAGGGGCTGGTGTGGGTCTTTGTGGTCCTGGAAGCACAAGTGGGGCCCCAAGCAGGGCCATACCCAGTTCTCAGCCATCTCTAGACGCACTGGGACAGATAAGGCTCTTCTCAGCTGGTAGCTGGGCTTGTGAAGTCACATCTTTAATTAATCGTCCCAGCAAATTGTACCCCTGTATGTCTAGCAGAGCCATGGTGCAGCGATTTGATGCCAAGATTAGATACAGCCATTACTGGGAGGTGCATAGTTAAAGATGCAAAGTAGGAGGTGATACGCTACAGGCAGGAGCCACCTGCTCGGAGGACCTTCGGGACTCCCGTCCCGGAAAAAAAACGACGTGTGTCATCCCAGTTCTCCACTGGCTCCTTCCTAATCTCGGTTGGGAGGAAGCAAATCCATTCTCGGGCAAGATGCACCAGTGTCGTTGATGCAACATCTCAGGAGGGTGGGAATCCCTCCCCGACCCTGCAGGCAAACAGCTCACCTCTGAATCACGGGCTTTCATTACCCTCCTGTGCCTGGCAGATGTCACAACCACATCCAGGCCCTTATTTTTACAAGGCATCCAGGGTGTGTGCGTGTGCTCGGAGCAGCCACGTACCATCCAAACCTATCACCAGGCAGTTCCCAGCCATTCTGATCGCACCGATGAGGTTGGTCTCTCCCCTGGTCTCCACCAGCTCCGAGTCTGAAGGACTGGGAGAAGTTTGGCTTCTCATGGACAAGCTCCATGGGACCCTTTGCAGAGGTGGGACGCTGAGCCCCGGCTTTGGGGGTCTTTGGTGACCGCCGTGATGGGTAACCTGGAACAACTGTGATGGGTAACTTGGAGCCACCGTGATGGGTAACCTGGAGCCACCATGACGGGTAACCTGGAGCCACCATGATGGGTAACCTGGAACCTTCCTTCCTGCAAGCAGCGGCCACCCCGGCACGGACAGATGGGTTTCTCGGCGTTTCCACCAGCGCGGTGCCGTGCCCACGTGGTCGGCACTGACTCACCGAGGGGCACCGACCGCCCCGGCGCGGGCTGAGCTGTCCCTGCCACCTCCGAGGACTTTCCAGATACAACAGATACTTATCGAGGGTGGCTCACGCCGCAGGAATTGTCGTCCTCCCGACAGCACACTGTCACGCTGGGGAGCCGGTCACCAAACCAGAAATAGGACGCAGGGATCCCCACTCCCACGGCACATTCCCAGCCTGGGAAGAGGATCCAGGAGCCCTGGCTCCCCTTTCTCCCCCCCATCACCCCAACCATTTGACACATTTCCTGTCTCTAATTAAATGCACACCACACCTTTCTGCTTAATTTCCACGTATTTATTTCCAAGGCAGGAACAATAAATAGTCATTCTCATTGTGAAATCCACCCCAAGGTGAGAGGAGACAGAGGGTGGCCTGTGGCTGAGCCACGGTGTCGGTGCTGCCGCGCCGGCCCGCGAGGACCCGCCACCCTCGCCCGGCCCCGGGGTTCATCACGTTTCCCTGGGGCCTTGCT